GTTATTTTGCTTATCACTTTTCTTATGACCAGGTCTTCTGCAAAAAGCAAACTAATTTTTCCTTTTCTTTTTTTTGTTTTCTTTTTTTTTGCAGTTTTCTACATTTACAGACCAAAAAAGTCAGAAATGACAATTGAAAAACACTGAAAAGTAGCGATGCTGCGGAGAACTAGGTAACACTAGGAGGAACAAACACATTTAGCTCTGATAACTCATAAATAGCTGCTCAAAATTTTTTGTGGAAAACACTTTAGCTTATAGTATTTTAAGACAACTTAAAGATTTGTCTGCTTTTGCTATTATTACTAAATCTACAGAGAGCAGTTGTAAATAGAACGATTAGGTTAAAAAAAATGACATGATATATTAGATTAGTCAAAGAAAAACTTAAGAAGAAAAAAGCTGTTGAAAGCAAAAAAAGAAAAAATAAGAAGTGAGACTGTATACCTAATTGAAACAAAGTTTTTACCTGTGGTATACATTGTCGTACAGCCGGTATTCGAGCAGTTCGAATTTCTTTATCGACGATATCGCCAAGAACACTACCAGCGTACAAAAATCCGGCCTGATTTATCCTAATTTTGACTCCTGGATCGGCACGATTTCCGCCGTATAGCCGCGGATTAAAGTCTGTTGAATCGTCACGTTGCCATCTAAAAAGAAATCGAAAACAAAAATATTTTATGTGTTTTTAACAGGATTATTTAAACATCTGCATGTTGTCTTCTGTTAAGTAAAACTGTTTTTTTTTATTATTTAAGACGATAGTGTTAATAAAAAAAAGAAGTTTCTCTGAAACACATAATCCTTGCGAAGTTTCTTTTTCAAAAAATCTACGATACAATAACCTTGAAAAACTAAATTCATAAAAAGTCACTCTGACGAATTTAAATGCAAATTTTATTTCGTCTAGTAAAGACTGACCAAATACCGCAACGTTAATTTGAATATTTACGGTCATAAAATTTTTCAAATTTAACACTTACGTTCAAAGAAAAAAAATTTACTGTTTACTGTAATGTTAAAGCAGTTAATAGAGTACACATACAAATCTGTTTCTCAGTAGGCAATTTCTTAACTTTTTAAGCTAAGTGGTGAATAAAATATTAAGCAGTTAAGCGATAATCTAGTAAGTTAGTTCAAAAACAAAAATTTCAGCATCACTTACCGAGACTGTTGAACGCCAGTAGTTGTCAATGAACGATAGTTTCGATTTGTTGAATAACTTGACTGCTGCTGCTGTCGTTGCAACTGATATTGGCGATTAGTTTGACCATCAGATAACCGTATACTTACAACAAGTAACAAATAAACCTTAAAAATAAAAAAATAAAAAGAAGAACGAAGAAGAATTTGAGAAGGATTATAAATGATAGTTTGGTCACTGATAGTAGATTTATACAGTAAATAGCGATTTGTTAAGTAAAGAAAAGAAATATAAGGCAAAAATCAATTTGAATTGATGCGAAGTCAAAGACACTAACGAAATAATTTTTTTTCAATTTTAAAGCAAAAAACTATTATTTTTTTATAATTCATTGTTACTGCTTTTATAGATTAAACGTAAAATAGTTTTTCTTTTTCTTTTGTCATTATAATTTACTGAGGAGAAGAGAAAATTTTCTTTTTTATAAGAATTAATAAAATTATTAATGGTTTAATTTGGTTACCAAAAAGGTGAATATAATAGGTAACAAACAAAAAACTAAGTTTTTTTGTAACTTTTTTTTTATATTTAAAGTAAAATGTTTCAAAATAAAAAAAAATTTTTGTATTATTTTACTTACTATTGTTGAACGTAATAGCATCGTCGAAGTTTAACTACACAGGTCGGTTGTCTGTGGTTGGAGTTTTCGTTGTTGTTGCTGCCGATACGGTTACTGTTGTTTGAGGATAGACGCTGTAAACAAGTTTAGCTTTAAGTTTTTCTTGTCTTTTTTCAATTTTTAAATTAAACCAAAGAAAGAAACAACAAGTATTTCAATCGTATTCTTAAAATTATTCAGAATAACTGTATTATTTTTTTTATTTTTTTTTTATCTTCTTTCACTTTCTTTTTAGTTTTTTGAAGATAACATCGTGTTAAAGACACACACACACAGATAACATTACTGTTTTCTACTGACTTTCATCATACTTCAACAACCCAACAGTTACAGGTTATTAACTGCATATTTTGCTTAGACAATAGGTTGATCTGTTTGATAGGACCCGACAGCAATAAGAGGAATCAACCAGTACAGCATCAAACTACAGAACCACTAAACTTTATCTACAACTATGTATCGCTGTGTTGTCAACAGGTAACTTACAGCAACAACAGCAGCAGCAGTAATTACAGATTTTTTTTACTCAACAAAATATAATTTTTGAGGAAATTAGTTTCTCTTCTCCCCCCCCCCCC